AACCCTTCTTTTGGGGACTCTTCTGGTGCTTACACTCAGACACAGCAATTCATTTGCCTTGTGAGTCGCAAAGAGTTAATTTCTTCCTAAATCATGATTCAGAATGCCTTATTTAGCCAAAGACCTCCATCATTAAAGAGAGAATCATACTAACATACGAGGTATTTATAAAAAGATCCTAATCTTTGCTGCCAGCAGTCCTGACACTATCCCAATTAATAACCAAATTAACGCCGACGCCGGTGCCCAATCCTCCGCAGGGAGAACAAAGTTTTCTTCCCGACAGGCACCAAGTCTCAGCCAGCAAGAGAGGGATGTATTTATTTTCCCGGGGCCGGCCCCACGCCTCTCCTCTCACGCCTCAGCGAGGTGGGAGCGGCAAGGGGAAGCGGCTGTGTTTTGGATCAGCCTCCCACACGCAGCGGAGCAGCTTCTGGGTCATTCAATCCTATGCTCGGCGCGAGGGCTGGGGATGGACCGTTCGACGGAGGGGGGGCCGAGGCGCCCAAGACCCCGCACGCTTCCCCATCCCCTGGCTTCAAAGCGCTGAACCAGCTGCTCTCGTTCCCCCCCAGGAGCCCCGAAAGGGGAGGGGGGATGACACACCACACACACACACACACACACACACACACACAAGGTGCCAAATGGCTGCTGCAACGCATCCCCCACTGCGCCTTCCCGTTTTTCCCTGAACGGAACAAAGCTGCCCTCAAAATGATGCTTTCTGTCGACCAGCTGATCAAAAATGAAAGTACAAGCAAAACTTAATGAAGCGCAAAGCCTCGTATGACAAGGAAAATTCCCGCTCCAGTTCTGATCTCTGTTTACAACGTCAAAAGTGGGTCAAACTGGTCTGCGATGGAGGAATCTGTTTGGAAAATGATCTCGGCGAGGGAAAGCATCTAAGCGGCAGACAACTGCACTGCAACGCTTCCACGGGGATCCTCTCCCCTGCCATCAAAGTGCCTCGACTCTACAGCGCAGGGTTGAAATCCTGTAACTTGAAACCACGATTTTCCATTCAACCGACTTGAATTCAGCAATTCCCTATCTTTTAGAGCAGATCAACTGACCAGTGTGTTTCAGTTTTTAAAAGCGCAGAGATCTGTACTAAGACATGGCTGGGTTTGGTCAGGGTGGGGGAAGCTGTTACGGTTTTTGCTGGCTTTGTGGTTTTGTTTTGGTTTGGTTTTGTTGTTTTTGTTTGTTTGGTTTTTTGTTTGTTTGGGTTTGTTGTTTTGTTTTTTTTTTTTTTTTTAAATTACTGCTCTCCCTTTTGTTCCTTTCCCATGTTCCAGATACGGTTATTGAACAGTACCATCACGCTGCCTAACGCGACTGATTTGTTTTACCCTGTTATGGTCTCTCTCAAAATGCAAAGGAATCACAATGAATTTAAATGGGAGCCCAAAAATGAGAGAAATAGTATGTAATAAAATTACCTTCCAAAGTATTTTCATTCAGAGTTCATGGAATCTGATGAATTTACTATCTGTCCTTTGCTGTTGTTCAAGATAGATGACTGTAACGTAAACAAATTTAACCAAAGCTTCCTGACAAGAAGCTCTGTAGGTTCTTCTGTGCAAGGATGGTATACAAATACACAATAATCTGAAGGAAGAACATACTAACCAGCGTTGAAACCCACTAATTTGTTTTATCGACTTAAAAAAAAAAAATCTGTTCTTTGACCTTCAAGTGCTTGATTCCTTTTATGGTCACACAACCTTTATTTATTAAAAACCTTCTACTAATTACTTTCAGGTACCCAAAGGCTTTAAAAAGCACAAAATGTCAAAAAATATATTACTGCATTCCTGCACATATTGAATCCTCTAACAGTTTTTGAAAGAAATGCATTTATAGCATTTTCTAGAAAGTATCTTTTAAAAAAACAAACTGATAAACATTCTTTCATATTTATAACCTGTATTTTTTTATGTTCTCTTTGGTTTTAGTTACTACTTTGTATTTACAGAAAAATGAGCTCTGTGAGTCTTCAAATTGTCTGCTGATGTCAGATATTTATAGAAAGTTATGATCTAAAATTATTTTAAGAACCGAATTGGTCTACAGCTGTGGGACAAACCTTGTATCTTTTAGACTTCAAAAATGTCCAGTTCGAACTGGAGGCTTTCCGGACAAATAAGGAGTAAAAGGGCTCTTATTTAAAATGTACTCAGTATTAAAAAACATGACATCATGAACAGTAGTAACAAAAGACTTTGGAAAAATAACATAGTACAAGGAAGGATGTAAACTTTGTATGTTTTTATTAGCAAACAAAAAAAAAAAAATGAAAAAGACAGTACCATGGAAATAGCTCAGACTTGTAACAGTAGCTGAGAGCCTGAAAGAAGTATGTGGGATATACTCTGAAAAAAAACATTCACGAGGTTGGATGGGAAAATGAGTTCATGGGTCTCTCGGACCCATCCATGAATTAGGAAGTACAATGTGAAAGGTCCACAAAAATAAGTAGCACAGTTCCCCTCGCCAAAATAAAGAGCACTTGAAAAAAAAAAAAAAATTATAAGTTTTCTTTCTCCCCAGACTTTAACTTAGCCAAAGCCAGAGGAGACACGCTAGGTCGGCAGGGACCTCCGGCAGCACCCGTCCCAGCGCCCAGCTCGACGAGGGGCTGCGACGTGCCAGCGTTCCCCCCCCCCCCCAGCTGCCGTCCCAGCCCAAACCCCCCCACACACACACACACAAACCCCGTGCCCCCGCACCACCAGGTCCACGATAACCCCGCCGCGAGCCCCCTGCACGCCAGGCGGGGAGCGGGGTAGGCTGTGGGGAGCCGAGCTGTGCCCCCCTCCGAACAAACCCTCACCCGGGTGCGGGTGCCATGAAGTTCGCAGGACTCCCTGCCCGAGCATCAGGGCCGTTCGGTGCTCCGACGTGAAGAGAGAGCCTCTCACTCACACTAACCGAGCTGTCCCTACTTACACCACACACAGAAAAGCGCCTTAACTTGGGAAACACTGTTCTAACACTTATTTCTGCCGTGATTTTTTATGTATTTCATTGTTCAGTGGAGCCCGCTTCCCAAACTGAATTCAGGACCCCATTTTACTAGGCTTGACATCCGCGCAAGGGGAAACACCTTTTCCGCCCCGAAACTCAGGACCCGAAGCCCAAGATTTTGAAGAGGTGCTCAGAGAGGGTGCCTGGAGCAGCACGGTGGGACAGGCTGCCAGGACCCTCCTCGGGCTTGGTGCCACCAGGCAAGAGGGCCTGGGGGCAAGCAGGCACGGGCAGGGTGGGACCCCCCCCCACGCTGAGGGGGGGTCCCTCCCCTCAGCCCCGCGTCACCCCGGCTGGCGGAGCAGGACATTTACCTGCTCCCGAGCTGCAGGTCACAGCCTGGCGTGCCGGCCAGCAGCTCGCACCTCGCTCAGGAGCGGCCACGTGCGCGTGTGTCGTGTGTGTGTCCCCCCCCCACGTCTGCTCTCCCACACAACCAAACCCTTCTGGGAAAATGGCGGCGGGCCTCGAGTTACCCACGCTCACGCCGCCCGCGCCCTCCTCGCTTCCATCGCCCAGCGACAGCACCACGGGCGAACGTGCTTGTGAATTTAGGGGGGCAGGAGTGACCGACTACGTCTAGCTGAGCGGGACTCCAGCCCAGGGCCAGGACCTCCACGCTGCAGCGCAACACAAAAGAGTAACAACCCCGGTGGGTGGCAAACGGAAGAAGTGAAGGGAGACGGCCCAGTCCAGTGCCCTGCCGAGCTCAAAACACCGGTTTTCAAGTTTGTGGGTCAGCGGACTACTTGAAAAAGAACCACAGAAGGTAACAAAAGCCCACTGTCAGCAGGCTCCAACGCGCGGAGTGGTCGGCCAACTGCAAAACGTGAAAAATACGGTGTTGCTTTCAAGCAAGGAGTTTTCCCTTCAGTAGAGCAGATGACCTTCACCAGTCTTCTCTTTGCCACCTTGTACCGGCTCGTAGAGAAAGTTTTGCTGATATGTGGGTCGCTACGCGCGTTGTGTTGTTGAGCGCTCGGTGAGATGGTGGCGGCAGCGTCCCAAGTCTTGGGGCACGGTATCAAAATTCAAAACCCTCCCCTCCAGCTGAGCTACGACGGGAATTACGGACGCACACACAGCACATAAAAGTTAACCTGACAGAGTACATTTCCTTCAAACACAACGCAGAACAGAGCTGCAACGCGTTTTCCCAACCCGAGAAGAATGAGATTTTTTTTTTTTTTTTTCCACAGGCTACCAAGCAGTAAAAGACCCAAACAACGCTAAAACAGCCTTCAAGAAAACTAGCCATCAAACACGAAGATGTCCTTCAGCGGCTGGCGGGGATGAGCTGAATCACCTCCCAAGCGAGGTGAGGCACCAGCTATTCCAGCAGTTGCGTAGACAAGTTTGCAGCCGGCTCATGGCATGCCAGGAAAGGTCCATAAAACACAACCCGCACAGACCCACACCACACACACACCCGAAAATAAATAAATAAATACACACATAAATAAATGCTTCTCCCATGCACACCCAGGACTTCGATTTGGACACCGGAGCATTATTTTCCTCTTTTTGTTTTTTATTTATTTTTTTGTTTGGTTCGGTTTGGGTTTTGGTTTTTTTTTTTTTTTTGTTCGTTTGTTTTGTAAAACGCTCTTGCAAAACCCTGGCCCTGAAGGGGAAAGCTCTCTTCGGCCAGGCTGCCCGCTCCCGCTCCCCCTTTTCGCCCCGGTTCCCCCCCCCCCCCCCCCCCTCCTCGGGGCGATCGCCCGACCGGGGCTGACACACCCCCCCCCCCCCCCCCAAAACAACACACATCCCCCCCTTCACCACCAACACTCCCCTCTCCCCCACCTCCCCCGGGGGGGATCCCCCCCTCCCTCCCACGCCGGGGGGGCCCGGGGGCGGGCGAGGCCGGGTCCGGGGGCGGCGGGCCCGGCTGCACAAAGGACGGCGGGGCGGGGGGCGGCGGCGGGGCGGGGTGGGGGGGGGGGGAGCCGGAGCCGGGCACTTACTTTGTCTATGGTGCCCGGGAGCAGGCGGTCGAGCAGGCGGCAGAGCACCACCCCGTCCTTCAGGGAGGACTGGAGGAAGCCCTCGGGGTCGGAGATGGTCTTTTTGGGCGACTCCAGCACGCCCAGGGCGATCAGCCACGTAACGGTCTGCTCCGCCGAATTCATGGCGGCGGCGGCGGCGGCGGGGGGTCGCGGCACCCCGCGCCTCGCGTGGGTTTTGTGTCTCCCCGGGCGGGGGCTTCAGGCGGAGGCGGGCGCCGCCCCCATGTGAATGCAGATGACGACGCCCCGGCCCCGCCGCCACCGCCACAGCCACATGCAGCTGCAGTGCCGCCTCCTCCCCGCCCCCCCCAGACCCCCCCCCCCCCCAACTCCCCCCCCCCCCCCCCCCCCCCCCGCCGCCGCCCCATGACATCACTGGCAGCGGCGGCCCCGCCGCGCGGGGGCAGCGCGCCCGCGGAGAGCCGCGCGCCGCTCCGCGCCCCCCCCCCCCCCCCCGCACCCGGCGGGGCGGGCGGCGGCTGCCCCCTAGCGGGCGGACGGCGCCTCCGCGGGCGCGCAGCGGCCTCGGTAGCGGGAGGGAAAGTTGCCGGGTCGGTGTGTGGGTGTGTGTCCGTGCGTGTCGTGTGTGTGTCCCCCCCCCGACACCCACGGCCCTTCGTGTCCTCCCCGGGCAGCGCCGTCGAGCTGGGAACAACACCCCCCACACACACACACCCCCCCGCGCCTGCCCCCGGCAGCAGCCCCGCGGAGGGGGGGCCCGGTCCCGCCTCACCGCGAGTTTTTGGCGTTCGCCGGGCGCAGCGAAGCCCGCGTGGGAGCCCGGGCCCGGCGGCCGGACCGCTGGCTCGCCCCCGGCGTGCTCCATCCCCGCCGCCACGCCCACGGGCAGCTGCCCACGGGCCTTCCCCGGTGCTCCCAGCCTCCGTGGACCCCTGCGCTCCGCGGCACGGGTTGGGAAGCCGATGTGAGCGTGCCGAAGCACGGGGAGGGCTAACCTGAAACCGAGCGGTAAAAGAATCCCTGTGCTTCTTGTTCTGGCAAAACCCATTCCTCAAGGCTTTCCTTGGACAGAACCCTACGTGCAAGCAGTATTTTTTTTTTTTTTTTTTTTCGTTAAGACTTGGCGTGGGTTCCCCAGGGCCCCTCTGTGGCCATCAGCCTCCCTGTTGATGGAGAGGTGATGCCGCCACAGCCCGTGCTCTCCCCCCTTCCCCTCACACCCCACCCGGACCCCCTCGAGGGGTAAAACCGCCTTCGGGGCAGTGTTAGAGGGGATGCTGCGAACCCTTCATCCATCTCGGTGGTTCTGCTTCCAGCCTGGCTCCTCGCACCCGCCACCGCCGCCCCCCAGCAGCAGCTCTGGAGGGTCTTGTCCTGGTCCAGAGTCCCATCCTGAACCACGGGCCAGCCCACACGCTCCTCAGAAAGACAGAGGTGCCTTTGGATTTGAGGCGAGATAATCCAACTCCAACATTCAACCTCCTTCTGATCCGTAATAGAAGCAGATTTTCGTAAACTCTTGACACCTGAGGTGTGATAACGCTTCCAAAATTTGTTAGCGTTAACCGTTTCAAACTTTGGCTTTCCTTTTGCCCCGTCCATATGTATTTTGAGCCACAGCTTCCTACCCGACAGCAGGTTAGTTATGAAGAGCACAAACAAACATGGCTATTTTTTGCCAGCAGAAAGCCATGTGGATGGCCCGCCCGGAGACCTTTGAAAGAAGTTTGCCACAAGTCAGGGAACCATTTCCAAATATTTAGAGGAAAAAAGTGGAAGTGCCTGAAGGATTTAGGAGCATGTCGGTCCCTTCCTGGTTTCCTTCCTCATCAGACTTTCCCCTACAAGGTACCCACTGCAAACCACCTGAACTCTCTGCACTTCTCCCTTATTTTATCCTTTCCTCTTGCGTACTCCAGTACTGTCTGTTTATACCACAAGCTCGGAGGAAGGAGAGACATTTTGCATCTGCACCATCCAGCAAGTGGAACCCATGCCATGGTGGGAATTTTGAAGTAACACAAACAACAAAACGTGTCATTATTGCCAATCTGCACTCCTCCTTCTTCTTTGTTTCACAATTAAATATGTCCCGATTCTCTTCTCTCCTGACTTTGGTCCCACTTTTGCTTCTAAATCCTAAACTGATGGTATCTTCATTTAATCACCGATTTTGATAAAGTTTAGGCAATCTAAACTCTTTCTGAAGGCATCAAGAGGCATGATTTTAACCACCTTCTTTGCAAAACATTTTAAATACATGCAAAGCTGAAAAAGTCATTTTCGTACTGACTCATAAATGAAAGATAGATACGGAGTACATATGTGGGTTTGGGTAACCTCCAGGTTTTAAATCCCCTTACACAAGCAAAGAGATTTTTATATTTTGATATTTTTTTTTAAAGTTTAATGATATCTGGACCCTTTTTTGAACAAGAGAGAAAAACAGTCTATGAAATACATCAGCTAGCTTTGGCAGAGATCTAGTAGGTTTAACAAAGAATCATTTTCCATAAATTAAGATTAAGCAGTTGACTCTTTATTTGGCCTTTTCCAAGCTTTTGTCATACTCTTACAAAAAGTTAATAAGGAAACTAGGTAGGCATGAGGTAGAAGGTAAACTGATGCCAGAGATTAGCAAGTGGTTGAAAGCCAAGGCAGCAGGAATAAATTGCCAGTTTTCAATTTGACCAAAAAAGTTACCACTAGAGATATCTCCTCTGTTCTGCACCATAAATTAACTGAAAGTCTCCAAAATACAGTTGTACTTCTGTGGGGGTTTATTTAGTCTTTTGGCCTGAGCAACAGGTTTTAGAGCAGGGAGAGCAGGACTGGAAGGAAATAGCCGGTAGAGAAAGCTGCTGCCTCATTTTGGACTCTCATTTGCCATTTTTCATCTTCAGCTGTTAATACCTCATCTGCCTGCCCTCGGAGCAGCAATGAGATACTTTGGCCGAATACACAAGTCTGCTTCCCCTGCGCCAAACCAATGTCAGGATTTCAGTGGGAAGGAGACTAATTAAATATTGGTCCGGCTCAAACAGAAATTGTCTTGACGGTCTGTAATTAGCTATAGAGGGGTCATACTGGATCAGTCACTGTGCTGGGATTCCCGTGCGATCTCTGTGGTTTTCATCTAGGCAGGTTTACATCCCTCTGAGGCAAAACCTCATCCCAACAAAGCAACACTTCTGTATTAAACTCAGCGATATATTTCCATGTCTAGTTAAACCCATCTTTCACAAGTGTCTTGAGGCTTGTAGGGGAGCTAGTCTTTTGCAGTTACTGAAACCAGCTATCACAAGTTCAATATCACCAGCTCTCTTTGCTGTTGATTGACTGCCTGTCAGCTGAAGGTGTCAGTTAAAATCTATATGCCAAAAGACGGTGTTGGTGAACTCAGGAAGGCAGATTCATGAGCTGCGTGGTACCAGCACAGGTGACAATAGAGAAAAAAACACACCAGTGAACCAATTAATTCATTATCTTCTAAGTTTTTAAGTATTTTATTAGGCAGGTGGAAAAATTCTGGTCCTGAGAAGCCTGTCAATCAAGCATAAATAAATGAGTACCACACAGAGTGCAGCTAAAGTGCTGATGCAGAACCACGAATATGGGACTCTTGGAGCAGATGCTTGACAAAGGGTGACAGCAGCGTGGTGCTCAGGGCTGCAGAGCTCAGCTCCAGGGCAGCACGATGAGTGGCCAGCCAGACTTGGGCCTCTGAAACAGGGTTCACAGTATGCTGTGTGCTGAATGCAGAAATGTCCAAGCCAGTCCCAGAAAGAAAACACAAAAACAAAACAAATAAAAAACCCCACAAAACCAAAAAAAAAAAAAGACAAAGGAAGAGTTGCTGCTAAACCTCTTTCTTTCATGGGTGCTGCAGGTATCTGTCTCAGGGTCTGAAGGAAAACAGGGATGCGGAGCATGGTTAGAGCTGTTATATGGGAGAGAGGTGCCCTGGAGCTCAACTCCCTGATTTGTTCCCCCCCAGACATGGATTTCAAACCTCTCAAGCCTCTAGCCCACTTGCTCTACTATTTCCTGGGCAAGCAACTTTAGGGTCTATTCAAAAGCAGAAATTCTGTCACCACGTCTTTATTTTAAATCAGAGCAGTCTATTAACACCATGCTCTGATTGAGCTCAGAGTCTGGTCTGCTGCCAGATCCTCAGCTATCCGTGTCTTAGCAGTCAAAATTTTTCTTAACATCTGCTTCATTTGACAGGGCAACTAAGACGATTCTGTGGGTTATAAGATTTATCGCAGTCATCGATGATCTTGTAGCTTTTACCCTGGCTGTGATTTTTAGATGGAAATATCCGCAGAGTCCTCTGGCAAGTGTGTGATAGCCCAAACTGTAGCTCTGCTTCCGTGCTTCTGAGAGCATCAACTCAACTGCCACGCTGCCTTTGTCTTCTAAGTGCGGTTCAGGATAATGGCATTGATCTGCTACATTTTTATGCTTTCAGAAACCAAAAGTATGTGTCTGTGCTTTAGGCAGGGACGAATATAAAACAAAGGTCCTTGCCACGAAGGGCTTAGTCTAAATCACAGATGATAGAAGATGAAGGATAGACCTGAGAAAGGAAGAAATGAAGAAGGACAATAGGCAGCAGTGCAGTCACACATAGGTTTTCTGCATGGCAAGAAATCTATTTTAATTGTCGTTACAAAAGTTTTATTCTCACTTTATGAGGACTGAGAAAGAAATGAAGGACAAGAATTGAATGGCTAGAGATCAAAATTGCTAAAATGATCGAAAATGTTTGGAATTAAAAAAAAAAAAGCTGAGATTTTTAGATTTTTTTTTTTTTTTAACACGTGCATACTGAATTAGCATTATTTGCCAAATTTTGCTCTGCATTTTGTTAGCATGAGATGGAGTAAGTGCTTTTTTAACATTGCAGGCCAGGCGGAAGCAAATCAGTGGTTCCCCTGGGGAAGGTCTTGGGGGAGGGGAGCTGGCAGTGAGCTCCACCGATTCAGGCCAGCCACTGAGAAAGCTGTGTCCTGCAAGCTGAAATATCAGTTGCAGATCCCCAGCTGGTGGAAGTTGTCACAGCTCCCTTGAAGTTGATGAATCTGTGACATTTTTTAAACAGCAAGCTCTAGAACTTTTGCAAAGAGCTCTGATTACAGAGGACTGACGTGGCTATCCGTAAAAAGGGCAAATTGGATTCTAGGATGTATCTGACAAAGAATTTTGGGCAAAGTAAAGGTAAGAACGAGTGTTACGGAGTCATTAGTAAAACCTCATTTGGAGTATAGAACAGAGACTTAGACACTCAC